CACTTGGTGTCCATGAGTCAAGAGGGACCAACTTTCTAATAACCAGGAGACACAAACCAGACTTTTTGTGATGATGAGTGGTAAAATGTTGCCGTGAGCAGAAATGTGTAGGCAGGAAAGCCTGATGACTTGTTACTGTGAATTGAGATTACTTATTAAGACTGGCAAAAGGGCAACAATGAGCTTTCAATTGGAGGGATCAGAATTTTTCCTGCTCTCAGACATAAACCAGGTCAGAACAGGCAAAAAAAAAAAAGAAAAAAAAAAGTTACTCTTAACTGGGAAACTTTACAAATGAAAATGCAATGTTGCTGAGAACAAGAAGAGCCAGGACTGTGGGGGGAAGGAGTTGCCAAGCCACTGCACAAAGTAAACTCAGATTTGTTCAGTGTGCAGCTGTTTCTTTTCCTTATTTAACAACTATTTTGCTCTTGAAAACAAAATTTAAAGTAATGGCATCCCAAAGGGCAGGTGCTTGGGCAGTATGTTATTTAGCATCACTAGGAGGCAAGTCAAACCTAGGCAGGGCCTAACTCTCTTGCTACAGGTATCAATGAAATGGATAAAAAAATAGAAAGAGCAGAAGAGCAGCTCAGGAATTCACCTTTGACTAGGTGCCATTTAGCTGCTGTCCCACCTGCCAAACCTTGCCTTTTACAAAGCTCTTTATCTGAGGCTGCATTAGGGCTACCCGGTACAATTAAGGAATGGAAAATTTTTGTTTGGAAGAAAAAAAAGGCAGCCGTAACTACGCAGCTCCATTGCTCAGCATGAATATGTTTGGTCTGTCAGAGAGACGCCAAAGGAAAGAGGCCAAATGCCTCCTTGCGGCACCATTTTGGGACCGTTCACTCCAGGCCTGGAGCGCAGCGTGGCACTGCGAAGCCAGGCTGATACCAGAGGAAAGGAGTAGCCTCAAACTGATACCAAAGAAGATGGGGAAAAAATGCCAGCTAGGATAAATCCTTTCTGGCCAGGAAAAGCTGAGCAACGCAGCCCGGGCGCAGCAGTGCAAGGCCTTGGGAAGAGGCAGCGGGGCTCTGTGTGGAGCACAGCAAAAGCCACAGTGCTGGCTCTGGCGGCAGACCGGGTTGGCCTCCCTGTCTGTCCACTGGACATGGTCAGTCTTTTTTTGTGAGCTACGCAGAGATAAATGGAAATACATGTTAAGGAATAAGCACTTTCAAACTGATACGACGAGAGGAAATGGCCTCAAGTTGCGCCAGGGGAGGTTTAGATTGGATATTAGGAAAAATTTCTTCACTGAGAGGGTGGTCAGGCATTGGAACAGGCTGCCCAGGGCGGTGGTGGAGTCGCCATCTCTGGAAGTGTTCAAGAAACGTGTGGATGTGGCGCTTCAAGACATGGTTTAGGGAACATGGTGGCACTGGATTAATGGTTGGACTTGATGATCTTGAAGGTCCTTTCCAACCTAGTGGTTCTGTGATTCTGTGACTCCATCCCCTTTGGGGTGAGCTGGCTTTAGGTGAGCAGTGTTGGTTTTGTGCGAGGAGCACAGGGGAGTGGGACCCTCCCCCAGGCAGCAGTTGCCTTTGCCGCTCCCTGACCTGGCTGTCCTCTTGGGGCCTGTCCCCTTGCGAAGGTGGCACGTCCTCACACTTCGGGAGACTCCTGGCCCTCTCTGTGTGCTGAGCCTTTCTTGGCCTGTGAGGCCAGCAAGAGGCTTCGGCCATGTGGCTTCACCTCCGCAATGTCAGCGTACCTACCCAGTGTCTGCCTAGCGATAGCCTTGCTGCAGAGGCTTGGGCTCAGTCTTGTCATTCCCAGCACGCTCCACGCCAAGACGCTTGTTCTCTCTCCCTCCTCCTGTTTCCACTCGGCCCATAGGTGAGCTCACTGACCACCCGAAAAGGTTACTGTGCCTTACACATGGCAGGCAGAGAAGTGGAGCCCGCAGAGGCGGTCAAGTGGGAGTTCCCTGGTGTTTTCCCTGGTTTGGTTGTAAAGGGTTTGGGCTAAGAAAACAACATCAAATGGGGAGGGAAGCCCCAGGTGCTCTCAGACAAGGAGAAAGAAGGTACACGGGCAACCGCTGTTTTTGGTGAGAGCAAATCACTGCGTTCGAAGCCACACGCAGGCTAGAGGCTTGTGCTGTGCACTTGGCAGTGCCTGCTGAGTGCTCGGTGCATGGCACATCCGTGTGGCGAAAGCATCATCACCAGCTGTAGTTCAGCGGCACGGCCAAAGCGTTCTTGCTGCAGCGCAGGCAGGTGCTCGCTGCCCATGTCCCAGCTGGCCGGCTTCCCACAGCACGATGGTTAGCATGGCGTCCTTCCTCCCCAGATGCGCCCACGTACGAGCAGGTGCATGCTTGCCCGTGTAGCCTTGCCATCCAGGGCCCTGGCAGTGATGCAAAGCAAAGCGTCCCGATGCCAGCGGTGCTGGCACGTGCACGTGTGCACGCGTCTGCACACGTGTGCTGCCTCGCAGGGGTGGGAGCTTGCTTCGCCCTCGGATTTGCATCCTGGAGTGGGGCTGCCCAACAGAGAGCCAGGGAAAAGCTCCACCAGCTTCAGGTCACCCCGGGGGTGGGAACTAGCCGGGTGAGGGGGAAACACCATTTTGCATCTGGTACCTGCTCAGGCGCGGGTCTGGCCTGGCAGGAAATGCCATGTGTGGCTCAGCTCCAGCAAAGGCAGCGAGGAGTCGTTAAGAAGGTGCCCATAGTCACGTCGGGGAAAAGCTCATCAGCCTGTCTGCCACATGCTCCCACCCATCGCGCGCATGCTGGCCAGGGCAGATTTGGCTTCCTCAGGAAGGATGGACAGGCCATGGGGCTCTGGCCCATCTGGTTCTTCCCCCTGCACTGACCTTTCCCTTGCACGCTTGCGCTGTTCGCAGGTGCCGCGCTCCGCAGGAGCCGGCACTGACCCGGGGGGTTGCAGTTCACATGTAGGCAGGGCTGTGGCTGGCTGGCCCATGCAGAGCGGGCACAGCCACATGCCTTGGCAGGGGCTTCACACCTGAATGTACTCAGGTCCTGCTCCTCAGTTAGAGGCCAGGAGATGGTTTTACTGCTGAGCAGTAACTTTGCATACACAGCTGTGCTCAGTGCCGCAGAATAGTATTACTGCAGCATCCCAGAGGCTGGCAACGTCTCGGTCCCATCCAGGACTGATACTGCCACCAAACCCAACATCACCGAACCCTCTCTTTCCTGCAGACCCACAGGCAAAATCCAGCCTGGTCCTGCAGCCAGCATGCTGGCAGGGGAGGGGGTGCAGGTAAACGTGCTTCTAGCAAAGCTCAGCATCGCCCCAGGGCTGTGTCCTGCTACATCCTGGAGTCCTCTAAGGATTAGTAACTGACAGTAGAGGAGGTGGGGAGGGCAGCTCTCAGACCCAGCCACCGCTGGAAAAGATCCATCCTTTGGGAAGTGGAGGGGATCCAGAGAGCTCCATGGCTGCAAGGACAGGCTTGGCAGGAGCCATTCCTGGAGGTGCCAAGGACTGAGGACTCTGGGTGCATCCTGGTATGGCTGCAGGTGGGCAGGAGGTGAGCACACGCATACACAAATGGGGGTCACAGAGGGTCTCTGAGCTCCCTGCTGGCACAGGGTCCCTGTGGGAAGTGTGGGGCGCTCATGGCTGGGATGTGCCCACGGGAAAGGACTACTCTGGCAACAGGCTGGGGAGCACACCCATTTCCAAGGGACTCTATGGTCTCTGTTTATTGCTGAAGAAACAGACAGCGAAGCCAGCTTGTATGAAACCCGATTATTCAAATTTATTAACATCAAGAATTATGCAATGATGCTGTAGATTTTTTTTTATTAACAAATAGAAAACAGACTGTATACAACAGTGACCCCTACAGCACTATGCATCCACAAGGTAAAAATGAATGTGTCCTCCAACATTACCAACCCTGGATTGCTGATTTCAACGTAGCTTGGATTCTTAACATTCGGAGTACATGTGATAATACAATTAGATACCCTTCCACCACCTTTATTCATAACTCAATGCACTCGAAGGAGGGCTGCTTACTCCCTGTCTTTAGTGCAAGCGTGATATAATAAGGAGTATTAATATATAGTACCATTAAATTAAGTCCAGTAGTCTTGCCACATTGGTTCATTAGAACGTCCTGAAGTAGCGGAAAGTACAATATTCTAGTGACTTTTAACATTTGCAGGATAGCAGAAATTATAGATACACCCAACCTCTGAAGCCATGTGTACTCCCCTCCCCTTCCCTGCAGCACCCCGCTTTCCAAAGAGAGCCTGCCTGGCTCTGCTCTGGGGACGGCTGGGCTTGTGCTCCTTGCCTTTGTAAATGCTCCGATGCACTTCACTGCTGAGAGGTGACAGAATGGCGCTTGCACGCACAGAACCGTGGGATTAACAAAAAGGGCCGTGTCTTGCTCTGTCCATCCCCTCCCCGGGGAGGTGTGGGACCCACTCGCTTCTCCTGCCCCCTTCCCAGCGAGACACACAAAAAGGGGCTCCCCAAGGCCCGGAGCCTGGGATTTCGGGTCTCTCACAAACAAGGCGACGACAACTCATGTCAAATCGGGATCTGCCAATACACACGGTCACTGGATTGGTTTAACACACATTGTTAATAGGACTGAACGGTTTCCAGCTGACAAAAGGGGACTGCTTCTCCAGCGACCCCACATGCCCTCCCAAACCCAAACCTACTCAGGAAATAATGGGGGGGAGGGAAAGGCTAAAAAAATAATTGGTAGCTTAGGTCCAGTTCCATGAAATTTCATATTCTACAGAGATTAAAAAGCAGCCTACAGGGAATGGAGCCGGGCAGGAACCACAAGCCAGCTGCTGCAAATTACCAAGGAAGCTGCACTAAAATGGGCAGAACCAGCAGTGACTGGGCTGAAATAAACACAGGGCAGTAAAAAATGTAAAAGCAAAAGGAAATAAAAAAAAAAAAAACAACCCAACTCCCAAAGGTTTGGTGGGTCCAGTTCTGCCTGGGCAAAACATTAAGACTTGCAAAAAATAAAAAATAAAGAGAGAGGAGATTATAAAAACCACTAGTAACTATTTTACATGTTTTAAAAAAAGATCCCATTCCACCCACCTAAAGCCTCGCTGTGAAATGCAGTCGCGTGAGAGAGGGCGAGAGATGCACATGAGCAGAAATTCAGCCAGAGACTGGAAATGCTTTTGGAGTCGGACTCCCTCGTTTGGCGCTGGGGCGAAGTTCCTAAATGCCGTGGTCAGAACTGGTTGGCATGGAGGTCTGCTGCCTGGGCAGCACCTCCATCTGTACAGAAGGACTGAGGAATGGGCGGCTCTGGCTCAGAGGGACCCGTCTCCACTCCTAGACATCCCCACCGCGACTGGAGGAAAGCACTAGTTACGTTGCATAGTGGTCGAAGCTGCCAAGATACTCCAGTGCCGCTCTGTAGCACAGCTGGTACTGGTCCTGCAAGGCAGCAAGGGGGGGAAGTGTGAGATGCGGGGACCCAAGGACATCGGGCAGCAGGATTGCACATCCTGAGATGCTGGTTCCCCTCCCTTCTCCCGGGGATCTCCCACCACCCTGGGGAGGAGAGGACACTCACCTCTGTCTGCACCATGGCTGGCCGCTGCGTCCGCAAGGTCTTCACTGTCTGGAACATGTCCACCACCCCCTCATAGCGCATCCTCTCCAGCACGATGCTGAGTGTGATAAACACACCTGTGCGCCCGACCCCAGCGCTGCACAGAGGGAGCAAGAGGTGCCGTTAGAGACCTGCCAGCCCCAGCGAGGCTCTGCAGAGCACCTAGGAGCAGCGCAAGCTCATGGAGCATGGCGACACACTCAGTGGAGCCAGGAGAGGCCACAGGGATATTGCTAGCCAGAGGTGCCCCCTCAGCCCCATGGGGCTCACTGATTCTGCCTTGCCTCTTGGCCAAGCTGCTGTGGCACCCGGCCCAAGGACTCTTCCAAGGTGCTACAAATCAATACCACCAGGGCACTGGGTTAATCTAGTCACCTGGCAGAAAGGCTGCCAATGGCACCCATGGATGTTGCCGCCTCTTTGTCTCCTGCCTGCCTCTTGCTAGGGGTATGCAGGAGGGACACCAAAGGCAGGGGAGCTGGCAGCTGCCTGGGTAAGTGAGGTAGGGGACATCCCCGAGGACTTCACCTCTGATGAAGGCAGAGGTCGGTGCTGATCTGTCCCCACTCACCTGCAGTGCACTGTGATGGGCCCGTCCTGCCCAAACTGCTCCTTGGTCTTGTGCACCTGCCCGATGAAGTCGATGAAGCCCTCTCCCGTCTTTGGCACTCCCTGCTCAGGCCAGTCTGTGAACTGGAACTGGCGGATGGTCCGTGACTGGCCGTCCTGTAGGGACAAGGGTCTTAGATGTGAACTATGGGTGAGGAGACGGCCAGAGGGGCTGATCTTGCTTCCCTCAGCACTGGTGCTGCTGACCTACTCTCAGACACCCTGGCCCAGGCGAGGCAAGAGGGTGCACAGGCCATGGATGAGCCCAGGCAGATCTTTTGCTGAGCATTTGGGGCCTGCCTCTGCTCACCCTTGTTCAACCCAGGGCGGCAGAGCTAAGCAGGGCTTTAGGGCCCTGCAGGGTCTGTTAGGTTAGTGCCCTGGCCCTGTTTGGGGCCCAGCTCCACTTCAGGACCATGTTTGCTGTCACACAGGTGTCCTGCGCCCATGTTAAATCCTTGCCCAACTGCGCAGCACAGGCAAGGCAGGGTCTGGTGCCAACAGAGATCCCTGAGCTGCTCACCGGGGCTGACACAGACGGCAAGGAAGAACCTGTAGTGAGAGGAGCAGCAGGTGAGGGGCAGAAGCCCCTTCTGCCTGCAGTGCAAGACAGCACCTTGCCTTCCGGTTCCTCTGGGAGCTGCTACAGACTCCCTTCGCTGGCCTGGGCACGGCATATGTGGGGCAGAGGCACAGGAGGCAGGGGAGCGAGCAGTTGCACTCACCCTGGCATCCGTCACTTTGAACTCCCGGAGGATGTACTGTGGCATGTTGTACTCTGCCATGGGGTCCACCACGAAGTACTGGTACCGGGCAGAGCGCTCCGCAGGCCAGTACTGATGGCACTTCTCCTGTGAATGAGGAGCATGGTGAGACATTAGCACCGACATGCTGCTGCTCCTCCCTCCCGCTCCCTGGGAATATACGTGGCTGTAGGGCCACAGGGTCAGACACAGGACATGCCAGCAGGAGGCTGGCCCAGAGCAGCTGGCGCTGGGGCAGACTGGGGTGAGCTGAGAAGTCGTGCCCACAGACAGCAGCCATACAGCCACCTTCTCCCCTGAGCAGGATTCGTACCCGGCCCATCTCGCGCAGCTTCGTCAACATCACCACGATGGTGGAGTTGTGCTCCCAGAGCATCCGCCAGAAATCCTCTGTGGTCTCGGCCAGCGGTCCCTGCGTGGCGATGTAGGCCTTCTGCTGCCTGCGACAAACACAATGGTGCTCAGAGCAGCTCCTGGAAGGTGGGCAGCAGCTGCTCCTGGGGGTTGGTGGGCCAGGAGGGCTGGATGCAGGGACCCCGTGCAGCAGGGCTGACAATGCAGCTGCAGGAAGATAGGTCTCTAGGACTAGCCACGGACTTGGGGGAGGGATGAGCCTGCCCAGCCCATGTCTTCTAAATGGTCCCCAGAGATGCAGTGAGCACCACTGGCTGCAGGATCCAGAAAGGCTGCTAGTCCTTGCTGGGGTGACAGTATGCCCAGCCCAGCCTCTCTCTGCAGGTTGTCCCTAGCACTGCTGCACTGAGAGCCTTCTTGGCACCCAGACCCATGTGAGGAGGCTGCCAGCACCCATCTGGGCTGGGAGGAGAACCTGTGCTTGGGGATGTTCCCAGCACCATCCCTGGGTTCCTGCACTTTTACTCTCTGCAGCACTCACCATCCCTCCCATCGCATGGGAAGACACAGAGCAACTGAATCAGATCACCTGGATCACACACGTCAGCTGATAACTAGGACAGTGTGGAAACCACCAATACCATTTTGCCGACTTTTCTGAAGCTTCCAAATTTGTCCTCGGTTCCACTGCGAGCCAGAGCATCTCTCAAAATGTCCCTTGTCAAAGCAGAGCTTGATCTGCCCCAGCTGGGCACCCACCCTGAAGCCTTGGTGCTTTGGGCTCTGAGAAGGACCAGCGTGTTGGTTCTTTGGCTCGCTGAGCACCCAGCCTGCCGCCTCGGTGCCGCCTGCGAGAGACGGGCCTGCCGCTGCAGGGGTGGCGGAGACATGGTCCCACTTCCCCAGTGCGCAGCGCCGGAGCCCACGGGACGACGGGCGGCCTCCTCCTGTCTAGCACTGCAGACCCCGCCAGGGTGAGGGGCTAGTGGCTGCGCTGCACGACAGCAGCAATGTGCGGGATGAAGACATGGGCTGCTTCAAGGTGGGCTTATAAGACAACACAAAAAGCAGGAAGTGGAAGTGCATAACGAAGCGAAAGAGCTAATAAAGGTGCAGCATCAGTGATGTCTGCAGGACCTTGGGCCAACTGATCTCCTTCGATAACACTGAGAAGATTGCTGGGTTCAAAGGAAAGGATGGGAAGAGATAACAGCACTCTTCAGGAAATGGAGTAGGTAGCACATGAAATGGTATCACCTGCTGTGCTGGCAGCCCTCCCTCCGTAGCATCACCAAGGGGCAAAACCAGCATCGCTCTTAATCAGCTCTGGAGCCAGAGCACTGTGGCTGCAGCGCGCCCGTCAGACGCTGAGCTGCCGGGGCGGGCGCGCAGGC